ATTAAAAACCCAATTTTTGAATGCACCACTTTGGTTTGCAACTTGTCTAGTTAAGCCATAAGGAATGTACCATTGCTTTTTTTTTTAGGTCACCACCACACTTGTAAATAATTGGTTGATTGAACTTTCAGTTAATAGCAATTTGTGTTGTATATAATTTAACAATAAATTATTGACAACACATTATTAGACATCAATGTCTACTTGCATCTAATAACAATTTTTTTTAATTTTAATCATAGAAGAAAAGATCAAGTTGGTGTCATAATTGTGCTATATATCAAGTTATTGTGGTTAAAATAGTATATATTATTTTTGTGGGAAAAAGAGAGCATAGATGGCATTTGAAATTGATTGTTTTAGTTTTTTTTTCTATTGTTGGCAATGCTCTAGAAACTTAAAAAATAATAACAGCAAAGCTCTCATCTACAATAAAATAAAATTATAGTATGATTTTTTAGTAAAATCTATTAAATTTTATTATAATAATTTGTAATAGTAAAAAATAGGTTGTCAAGTCTACATCAATAATTGGTATCAAAAAAGAATAGTTCATGATTGTAGTGTAAAATCAGCAACACAAAGATGTTTTTTTAGATTATTAATTGTTTTATGAAATAAAATTATTGTATATAAATACATAAAATTCTAATTTAAATATATGAGATTTATTTATCTAATTAGAAAATATTTAAATCTTTAACCTCATCAGCAAATTTTAAGAGATTAATTGTACATTAGCTACAAGTATAATAATTTTATCATAAAATTAAATAAAATTTAATATTCTTCTATAAAATAAAATTAATATATATGTGTATATATAAATATTTTATAATAGTAAAATCAAATCTTATTAATTATAAAAATAAATAAATAAAATTATATTATATTATTATAATTTATTTATTTAATAATTTTTTATATTGATAATAATTTTTATAAAAAAATTATCATACAAATTTTTAAAAATATATATAATCTAACTATTTTTTATAGATTTTTATAGATTTAAAAAATATATATTCAAGAACTTTTTTTTTAATTTTTTAAAAAATAATTATCTTTTGAATTTTATTTAACTTTTAGGTTCTTAAAATTAAATTATAATATCAATTTTTTCTATAATATAAGAAAATTTAAAGTTATATATATTTAGAATATTTAAATTTTTAATAATATAAATAATATCATAGATATTTTAATATAAAAATAATTAAAATAAATTTTAAATATATAAATTTTAAAAGTGGGACTTCATATTGAGAAGTACATCCACAGAAAATAATTACAAATACAAGCACAAATAAAAAAATAATTACAAAGAAAGGCATAGTTTTCTTCTTCTTCTTAAATATAGTTTTTTTCAAAAAGAAAAGGTCTCATTGCATCTTTATTTGCCTTGCTTCTTGTTGCTTGCTACAATTTATCATTATTGCTTCTCTTCTTATAGTCAAGTAAGCCAAAGGCTACTAGTAAAAAGACAAGAAGATCAAACAATGACAACCCAAGACAAACCAATTGTTGAAACAATATTTTTCATAGCCAAGGATGTTTTTTGTGTTCTTGCCAATTATTCTATCCAAGCCTCTATTCCTTATCAATTCAAAACCAACAAAATTGTATATATCAAGGTTGTCTTTCTAAAAAAAGAAAAAAATTAGAGGATAAGAATAAAAATGGCATATATTTGTTTTACATTACAATCAACCAATATAGATATAGGCTACTTCATGTTATCAAGTTTTCTCTTTATATGTAAACATGCTCAAATTTTTTGAAATCATTTTACTTTTGAAGCAAAGAGCTTAAAAACTTTGTTGAAGAACTTGTAGACACATACAAGATCTATAACCATGTAATATCACAAACTATGCATGGACCAACCTTAAGGAAAAAACAGCATACATGGCTTCATGGAAGAATCACAAGTTGCAACAAAAATATTTAATAAAAGACAATTTGGGCTTTCAAAAGCTTGTACTACTACCTAATACATTAGTTTCATCAATCTAGATAGTATGACTACATTTCATAAAGACAATTGATAACAATTTATTAGAGTGTTTATTTGTGTTTAAGTTTGAAAGACTAAAATTATAGGTTGCTACTCTATATTCACTATCAATACAATCCATTCAAAAGTAAGATACTTAAGGAATTTACTTTGGTCTCAATAGAATAGATGAAAAAAATTACATCATTTGTGTCGCTTTTGAAATTGCCTCAATTAAAAACAATAAGAATTGAACATGGTTTTTTTACCAAATAGTATATTTATTATTCTTTCTAAATTCTACAAGTATCATAGTTATCAATTATTGTAAGAAGATGCACAAATTTTTGGTATTTAACTTTGTATTTGATTTTGCATTTAAATTTATGTTAAGTATAATAATATATCTAGAGAATCTAAATTACAATTGTTGCTAAGCTTCCATTCAAAAACCATGTTACTTACATCTTGTACATTAAAAAGAATATCAACTGGTGCTACAAAAGAAAGTTAAATGAAAGAAATTGAACAATTACAAAAGCATTGACCATCAATGTCTATGTAGTTGTGATGGCATACATGTGTAAGATACATGCTATTGCATTTGAGTACCTTGCTACTATTCCACATTAAAATTAGACCCTTAATTATACCAAGTCTCCATGTGTTAGAGTCCTTACTTCTAACATGTCAAAGACAACAAACTTCTAGATCTTTGATACACACCACATAGAACCTTTTGATGCGATTATTCAAATTGTTTGAAAAAATAGGGACTTTTTTTAAAATTAGCATATCAAACATGTGGCTATTCCAACATGACTTCTTTCTAAAATCACTACAAATCTTGTTAGGTTATACACATTAATGATGTTCTTTTTGAAGTCAGCATCCAAAATAATCAAGTTTTTTGTATTGTCAATCTAAAAGATTATACTTATTCTTGTAGTAAATTCTAGCAATGCTAGTTGTCCTACAATCATGCCTATGTAGGCACACTAAAGTTATGCTAAAGCCAAGAGCTATTCATGCATGGTTTATACAACCACTAGTGAATTACATAAGGTCTATATTGATGTTGTTACTCTCAATGATGCAAATATGGTGGTGGCCGATGGTATTGCATTACTGCCATCCAAAATATCACAAGTAAGATGACCATAAATAATTTGCATCTATAGTCATGGTAAAATCAATTCAAAAAACCAAAATAAGTACTAAAAATGTATCAAAAAAGGCCACAATTCTTGGACTTATAATTGATGATGACTAATATGATAATTATCAAGTCTTATTGGTAACCTTTGGCTTGTTGGACTATGCAAAGACAAGGAATAATGAGAAACTACGGTCAGTGAAGAAAAGCAAGGCAAATCAAGATATATGGAGATTGCTTTTGAAGAAAAGAATTATATTCAAAGAAGAGAATTGTGACTTTCTTTGTAATTATTTACAATTTGAGCTCCTATTTCTAATTATTTCTATGGGTGCTTCCTTCAATATACATTCTCTTTTAAAAAATCTAACATAAAATTTAGATTTCATTTAACTGAGTTCATTTTTCTTACATAAAATAAAATTTACAATACTTAAATATTAATTATTTTGAATAATTTTGTGTTCAAATTTTATTTTTATTACATAGTGTAGATATTACAAAAGTCCAAAGTTGTGTTTTTCAATAGACTTGCATATGTATGATAAAACAAAAATAAATGTTTTGTAAAGTTTACTATAGTTTAATGACTTCAATGATTATTTTATAGTTTTTCCTCAATGATCTATTTGAACTCAACAGTAGATTATGTACATCTGAAAGTTAAAAAGTAAACATACTAAACAGTAAAAGCTGATGTACTAAATGTTCTTATTTCCAATAAAAATATCAAAACATTAATTTTATTAAATTATAATTTCTTAATTAAGTTGATAGTTGTTAATCTGATCCAATACAAGAACCTTTGACTAAGAATGTTATTGAATAAATTCAGATATTTTTCATTTTTTTAAATGACTCTAATATTCAAGATACATGTAAAAATATTGGTGTAGAATACAATATTTTATTAATTTGAAGATATTTTGTGGCATCATATCTTCAAAACTTTTTCTTCAAGACCATTCGACCTTTGTTCACAAAAATTGCCACCATGTTTTGTGAAAGCACTCAAATTTCACAACTGTAAAATATTTTTGGTCCATAACATTGTTATTTTGCCACCCCATCATTTTTTTGGAATCAAAACCAATTATCATTCCAACTTCGTGCGTTTCTCTTGGACACAAAGATTGACATGGACCCTACTGAACCAAAATTTGCACCAGATAATATAAGTATAGAAAACAGTTAATAGGAAAGTACAGAATATGAGAAAAGGAAAGTTTCAGCCATGGTCATGGTGATTGATGACTTGTGGACGTTGAAGTCACCACGAGGCAACAACAGAAGCAGTGACGAGGCCATGAGGCTCCGAAGAGTGAAAGTGGCGATGCAGAATCGTGCAACATCTGATGACATGTTTGTGAAGAAGGTAAATACCATGTTGCGAAGATGCAAATTAGTGCATTGAGCTCATGTCTCGAATCCTTTACCTTATTTGCAGATTGGTCTTTTGTTTTGGGTGGTGGTGGTGCTGCTGCTGCTGCCCATGCTCGTCCCGTGATTTCAGGCTTTTTAGCGGGTGGGTTTTTTTCTATGTGGTCTTGTTTCACTGCTGCTCTTGTGAAAAACTGGGTGAAAAGTTGGGTTCTGCAGTTTGTCCATGCGAGCAGGGTAGACGGCGTTTGTTTCTGCAATTTTGAATTGAAAGGTTCTGGTTGACATCGCTCCTGTGTTTGCAAGAGTTTTCGTTTCTTCTAGCGGAAACCCCGCACTGCAGGTCATCTGAACAGAGGCTGAACACTGGGTTTAGGGGTTGTTCAATTTGAAGTAAGCGGTTCGGCATGCATTTCAAGGAAGGTGGAGTCCATTGTTGTCGTACCTTCACTGTTGATTATAGTCAGATTGGTAGAGTCTGGAAAGCACGGTTAATTATGTTAAATATGTTGAAATTTGAGATGATCAGCTGCGTTGTAGAGGAATTCTAAAGCCGGAACAGGTTCGAATTAGCATCACTATCAATAGCAAGTTCGAACTGTGTCTTTCTTGCATTCCACGACAACCGCTATTGCTGACTGTGGGGAGGCTTAAGACTTTTGGGCGTTCCTTGTGTGCTGACCTCACCTATCAACTACATGCAGCTTTATGGACTTCTTTGTGTTGCTTCAATCCTGTATGGACTTACCGTGAAAGTATTCTCCTCGCACTTCGTACTGATGGTTATATTTCCCACCATTTCACATTCTGCGCTCGTAACGTGTATGTGTTGAAACAGCAGGTTGGTTTCTCGGATGGATCCATCCAATCTTGTTGGCTGCAGCGTCTGATATGTTTCGGCACGCTACCACACTTACTGCAGATCCACCTTCAGAAACGGTGATGAGCCCATGCATTGTCCCAACGCTTTTGACTGGAGCTGGGCTGAAAAGGAATTAATTCCTGAGGAGCCTCAAGGTGAACATATTTCTTCCAGGTGGAGAATCTATGATAGAATGCTTCTTCCCAGACTCCTGATTTACTGGATGACCAATTTCTGGATGACTCTTCGATGAGTCATCGTTTCATGCCACAGTATCCTTTCTGTGTCTTTTATATCTAATTTTAAGCTTTCTTCCTTTGAGAAGGAATGGTTCCGATTCCATAGTCAAAGTAAGGGTAAGGTATTCAATGAGTAAAGGAGGCTGCACTCGAAGCAGGAATATTTCTCATCTTCTGGATTACACCCACTCAGCCGTGGAATCTGTGCCCGGTCGCCCAACGATTGCTAATCGTTTGAAGCTTCTCATCCTAAGCTCCAAGCAGTTCTATCTGCACCCTCAAACACATTTAATACTGAACCTGCTGCCTTTTTCTGACCAAGTGATCCTTCAGCACTTGCTTGGGATGGCATTGTGGGTGAATCTCCGTCGCTAGGGCCTTATCCATAGCTGGCTAGCGTGAATTCTCACACAGCTTGAGTTGAGTCAAAGCTGCAATCACCCTTTGATTGACTTAGAACCACCATCAGGGAGAAGCTGTCAGCGACCAACTAGGTTAGGAGGATCCCAGCTACTTCCTGAGTAAAGTATGCACTGTAAAAAGCTCAATTTTCGCGTGGAACATGCAGGTCGCTAATATTTTGGTCGGCGACCTCGCTCTGAACTTTTCAGAAAGTTAGCAAAATGGAATCGAGTGTGTCAGCTTTTGTTAGTCCAGGCAGGTTCTTAGTTACCTCCAATAGATAAAATCAGAATCATCCAAGAGCTCAGCCCAGAGTTTCATTTTTCCTTCGTTTCTAGAGACTTCTAAAACCATGACACGGGAATTAGATACAGAAACACGACAGTTTAATATAGGGTCAGGTCAAGAGAGATCAGTCAGTGCCCATACAGAATAATTCCCATCACTATCGAACACTTCAGATCAGCGTGGTAAATTGTCGTGGGCTGCTTAAATCGTTGGAATCATTGACTCTAATTCCAATATTAGAATTTTCTTGATTACTTAGTGCATAGTATCATCACATCATTCCTAATTTTTTTGGTTAGGTGATTCTCGTTGTTATGTACAGAGCTTAGTAGAATTATCTGTTGCGTCTGGTCATGGATCAATCGCCACTGACCACTTACTATCGACGTGCCCGTGCTGTACATCCAGAAGTGCTCTGGTTAGACGCCCACAAACACTTAGTGGCTCTCCCGCTGATGAATGAGGGAGACCAGCTGTCCCAGGTGGTTTTGCTAGCCAATACTCAGCAGCTTCATTATTAAAAGGAACCACGATCTCAGTCTGATCTTTCATGACAAGGCCCATCACTGGCTGCACCATGCACGCTGTCCCTGTACCGAAGACCTCCAATAATCGACCATTTTCCGCCGCCCCCTCCAGCTGCTCATGTCCACGTTGTCAATGAATGCAGTATTTCAAATCTATATAATTGTAATTATCTGCATGAGAACCAAATGTAAACTGCAACTTCGAAGCAACAATGGATTTGTATCTAGTAATAAATCAACGAAGAAACCACATTACGAACTTACCTCATTAAAACGAAGAGGTCTCTCCGAAACCTTCATGTTTCCAAATCCCCGGGCAAGTGTGAGCACAGAGTCCCTCGTAATTCCTGGCAGTATGAGACCATCCAAAGGAGGAGTCACTAGTTCTAGCTCTCTATTCTCGCCGTCTTGCTGGATGAGGAAAAACACATTCATAGAACTTGACTCCCCAACGAGGCCGCCCCCAGGATTCCCATCTTGCAGCACGAACAATACCTACACAGAAAAATCAAAATAAAAGTTTCACTAATTTGTGAGAGGGAGGTGGGACATTGGTTACAACAGATGTTCCCAGGCAAGGAAAGAAATTACATGAGAGTAATAGACAAGTCACGTACTTGCGAACAGCCTAACTGAGTACCATTCAGTTGAGGCAGTAAAGTTGGGGCGTAATTACCACCGATCTTCGTATCTCCTACGCCTCCGGGAAATGCACGTCCATTCTGTGTTTCTACATAGAGTTTAATAGGTTTCAGGCCGCTGGGAAAATAAGGGCCGACTGGTGATAGGATAACAAATAACATGGCCTCTCTTGTAGGACAAACCCCGAGAAATGGGTGAGTGACAAAAATCAACAGTGGTCGAATGTAAATTGAAAACCCCTCTTCGTCGGGAACCCAGTCACGCTCGATTCGCAGAAGCTCTTTAATACATTCCAGCAATTCTACCTGCCCAGAAAATGTAAGTAATATTTCACATTTCGTAGCATGCAGCTCAAAACAAATATTACAACCAGAAAATACTGTCTCGAGATCTAATTCGCCAGGAACTGTTAGGACAAGGAATCCCATGACGAGGGATGCATCTGGACAATCCAACAGTGAAGTCAGACATAATAAATGAGAATGAAGCTGAGTGGTTGGTACAATTCAGTTTCCGGAACATTATTGAAGGTTCTCCTGAAGAAGAATGTCAGTGCAACTCGTCTAGTCACATCAATTCATTTCAAGTGCATACCATGCACAGAAAACTCAGTCCATAGATAGGTAGACAGCATCAAACCTTATCAAATTGAGGCAAAGTGAGACGATCAGCGGAATGAGCGAAACGATCCATGTTCATGTCAGGCCGAAAAAGTCTCAATCGGCCATCCTTTCCTTTATAGCATTTCATTCCCTCAAAGCATTGAACTGCATAGTGCAGAACCTGGAGGCAAGAACACCAGGTTATGAATAATCAACTTTATCAAGATTAATCTACACTGCATATTGTATAATTTTCCTTAAAGAAGAAAGAGATTCCTCCAATATCTTCAATTGATGGATTGATGTACATATGTTATCTGAGACTTAAATTTCACAGTCACACGCCAGTTCGGTTTAGACAGATTGCGCCATCTATCAACAGCTCTTTGGAGACATGGAAAATGGGACAGAAATAACCTGTGCACATGGATGAAGAGAAACAGAGCTCAATGGGTCAATTGAAGGGGCCGTCCATCCCAACTCTTCCCTCCATGAAGCTTGCAGCATGTGGTCACTGTACACCGCTCCAAACCTCAGTGTCGTCGCATCTAGTTTTGGTTTAACCTGCCATTTATTGCATGAACATTTCAAAGGGATGTTTCTTACTTATCAAAAAAATGGAAACATCTTTATGTAAACGCATAGTGAAAACACGTTTAAAAATTTCGTGTTGATAACAATCGTAATCGACTCGCCGCAATAAAGTATTAGTTGTCCAAGTAAAATCCCGCTCTCACAAAGTTAGAGCGTAAGATTAGAGCGGATCCCTAAGGGTCCCAAATAAGGCAAGCTTAAGCCATGATTTAGGATCTATGAGATTTGCACATGTTTTACCCTCCTCTCTTCGAACTCAGCCTTCAGGAGACACAAACCTGTATGTGTTCTGATCTTGTGATAACTAGGTCCTCATAGCGGATATCTGATGGTACTAAAGCCAAGCGAGGCACAATTTCTGTCATACTTTTCTGTAACGGCTCTTCCAGCCGAATTCCCGTGGTGCTATGCATTCGATGCTTCCACAAGATTCCCCATTTCGATATACCGCTCGAGAAATTGGAACCTGCGTCATCCAAGGCAGCAAATCTGCACTCCTCTTTAAAGGCGGGGCTCCTCCCATCTGGATAAAGGACTGCAGAGTGACGTGCAAATTTTGAGTGTGCGCCATTGCGATATTTTGCAAGGGAACTTCTGCTTCCGAGTAGTCGTTTCGCTGAGCAAATCAACATGTTGTGGCTTCTACCAGGAATGCGCCAGTGTGTAAGTCTCAGAAAAGAACTAAATAGCTCATTGCCGATACCGTGAACAAGGGCTAATTGAAACTACTCCATCGGTTTAAAATAATTTTAAATTCAAATGACGAGAGCTGTGACGTAACTAGACATTTGTCATAAACGTGCTCCGAATGGCAACAAGCAGAGTCCACAACCGATAATCGAATGAAATGCAGGCGGAAGGATTTGATCATTCTATGAGTACCATATAATCTTTGGTATATATGCTCAACAAAGGAGCAGGAAGAAGAGTCTCTTTGTGTACAGTAAGATTCTAGATCTGTATAGGTTAGGCATGGACGCCACTTTCACGGTCACTTCTGGTATATTGTCCACACGCCGAGCGACAACCTATTTGCTATGTGCATACGAAGGATACCGTTCAAAATGAAATTTAAAACGATGTACCCTTGGCTCACAAACAAGTATTATAGATCATGAGTTTTCTGACTCCTTCAAGGATGCACTTAATGTCCACTTCCACCCAGGTCCAGGCCGATAACCGCAGAAGAAACAAGTAAACGTTGATCTCGTTCGCTCAATACCAGAGACTCTATGTTGCTCTAAGGCTAGGAGTAGGATTGTAACTGTTCGTTTTTAATATCAATTTCCTCAAATATCCTCAAATGAACATGTATTAGACTGTCCAAATACAATTATTCTCTGTCCTTGCAACAACAGAGAAGGTTATGTTAGTAGCTATGCTGAGGTACTGTTCGAACAAGTACAAAGAAGCACTTCCCACAGCGAGCAGAATTCCTAGTGAAGGCTGCATAAGAATTCTGCTGCAACAAAGAGTCATGTTAGCTCAAGAAAATGCTAAAAACTCTACAATACATGTAAGAATTGCAGATGATTTGGATTTCAAAAGATTTTAATTACCATAACGAAATGAGCTTCCTAAACAAAACAAACCATCCACTTTCAAACCATTTTCGTTGCACCGGACTAACTAACAATCTGTTTGTGCAATGAAACGTCTACAGACGTAACTATCCCGCGTGCCCTCGATTCTGTCAAGGTAGCAACAAAAATGGAGAAGACCGCACTGTAAGTCCAACACAAACCGTCCGAGTATTTACCAGAGACACATGCGGTACGGATGAAGCATTGTCATCCCATCATTACCCAACCGTTCTCCTTGTAGAAAGAAGAGGAGCGAGAAAAGTGGAGGGAAAGGACTAACTAATCACCATCTGCAAACACACTTACAACCAAATAAACAGGAAATTCATGCAGCTCATCAACTAATGACCAGGAAAAAAATTATGCAGAATGACAGGGCAGTGCCACGAAAGCCAGCAACTACGAACTGAAATTGAACTTCCGTACTCCGAGATCACCTACTCTAAAGGAAATCCAAACTTCTAAAAAGTCAACAAACCAGTTTAAGAGCCACTCTTCAAACGAAAATCGCCCTTCCAATACGCACCTGCAGCACTCTCTTCAACCACCACAACCGCAACAGCCTCACTCAGAGTTAACGCAGCATGTACTCTGAGCCACTTCGTCAAGACGCTTCAACCAGCTCCAAACCAAACCTCGAATCTATTAACCTCCCCCTGCGCTCAATTGATCCCTTTCCATACCACACCGACGCAAAAAACTAACGGCCAGTTCATAAGGAGGACAGCAGGTCTAGAAAGTCAGACGACACGGAAAGCTCACTCTCTTTCTCGTTCTCTCTCGCGCTCTATCTCTCTTGCGCATGGCCGTCCGTTAAATATGAACGATGTGTTCACTCCATCAGAGGCGTTAAGATGAAAAGTGCACGAGGAGGGAGGAGGGAAGGGAGTTAATAGCTGCGCCAGATCAGTGGCTGTGGCCGGGCAGGTTGGCCATGGCTACTATGAAGGTTGTTCCATCATGATCGGGAGGAAGGATCGGGAATCAGCATCGGGCTTTGGTTACTTGTATCTCATGACCTGCTTCTCAGCGCCCCTTGGCTTTGAATTTGGGCCCACGCCGTGTGTGTTATGGGACGGAGAACCGCGACGACACGGCGGTGGAGGAGCAAGCTGTTGCTGGTGCTGGTGCTTGGCGGGAATTCGCCCTCGATCCTCTGCCACGTCGGACCGCATCTCCTCACCACCTCGGCATTATTCCACCTCAGCACACTGATCCAGCGTGGCGATTCGCTTTGAGTGGTCAAGAGCATTTCTGCAATGATACTCGTAAACTACTTCATCATGCAAATTGTGAATCGACGTAATCATACGTCTCTAATTCTCTTGCCCCATGGCTCCCAGGCTATGTAACAAATTTTTTCTATTTTTTAATATTTTTTTTTGTCTTCTATCAAAAATATTTTAAAAATAACGTTACCAAATTTTCTACACTATTTTTATTCTTATGTTTAATAAATATATGTGTAAATATGTATGTATATATGTATGTATGTATGTATATGTGTGTGTATGTGTGCATATAAAAAATTTAACATCAATAAGGATTCCAAAGGATCAAATGACCTAATATTATGTTTTTAAACAAAAAGAAAATTGAAATAGTAGGCAAGATTGGTGTGTTGGTTTGCTTCTCATAGATATGTAGGAAATTTAAGTATGAGATATTAGCTGCAAAGGTAGATATGTGCAACATGAAGACTATATTACATTGGAAGGAAGTTGGAGAGGCATTGGAGATGGATTTTGAAGAAGGATTGATAAAAGATGTATGGTAAGAAGAGAAGTTTCTATGGATGCCACGTGAAAGTAAATTTGTATTTTATCAATTGTGGATTGATTTGAAATTTGGATGGATTCATTTAATATTTCTCTAATGTCATCATCATAATAATCAAATATTATGGATTTATATTTTTAAAAAAAGTGTTTAGATAGTGCATAAATGTATTAAGTTAATAATTAGAACTACAAGCATAAGAATTCTTATAAGAGACCATCATGTTAAAAAACATTGTCTAAATGAGTATCTATTTGCATTCAAATGCCAAATGAAAAATCAACATGTAGAAGAAGGGATAAATGAATGTTGACATCTAACTTTTGTGCATCAAATATTGTATGTAGGTCAAAATCCATAGAATGCTTGTCCCTCTAAGCAAGTTGTTTTTTCAGATGTTAATATTTTCTTATAAATATTATACATACTTCTGAATGTGATTTTTTTATGTCAACTATGCTAGTGTAATGGATTATTGAGTACAATATCTTTAAATGCAATATATATATATATATATATATATATATTTTTTTTTTCTATCCATATGACCTTGGCAGTTGATGCTCTTAAGCAAATTAATTTTTAAAAAAAAATTATTATCTTATCAAAAATTAAAACCAAAAAGCTTCAAATTTGTTTTTTATTCTTAAAGACTTTAGATAGTTTTGCATGTTAACTCTTAGAACACCAATTTGTAAAGCATTATATTCATGTTTATTTTATATTTATAATTTTTTTCTCTCTATATATATACATACATACATTTATTTTTTAAAATTTTTTATAAAAATAAATTTCAACTATTTATTTTATAGGTTTTAGATTTTTAAAAATTAAAAGAATTAATATTTTAGATAAAATATAAATATAGTTTTTAAATTTTTAAAAATTATAATTTATGATGGCTAGCTATAATGCCATATGAAAAATTACTAATTAATATAAAAAAATATTGCATTCTATGTGAATAATATATCTTTAATATATAACTAGTAAAACCATGTCAAATCTCAATCATTCAAAATCGATTATAATGTAACCATCTAGAAATCATGTCAAATTTCGATAATAACCTAATTCATTATAAGATCGCTTTTCTTTTTCTTTTTTCTTTTAGCTCTAACTCTCTAGAACAACAAAACGAAATGTATTCAATTCTTTGATCTAAACTGATATTTATTTGTCTATGAAATGAGATTTCTTTATATGTAATCATATGATTAAAAAAATATTTATATAATCACTAGTCCAAATTTCACATAATTACAAAAATAATATTAGGATATTATTTAAAATTTTATGTTATTCTTATATTATATTATATTTTTATTTTATTTTATAATTTTTTCCAAAATCAATTGACACAAACTCTTGCTAAAGATTTTAGAAATTTTTTTTAGAAAATTGATTAACAAGCAAGTAGAACTTTTGTTTTTTTGTTTGTTTGTTTGTTTGTTTTATTTTTTGTTTTTTTTTTTTTTTTTTTGTGGTATCAATTTCTATTTAAATTCTCAACTAAGTCATACAATGTATATATATATATTTTTATATTTATATATATAGATATACATACATACTAATAAAAATTCAAATATTGATTGAGCAATAGAAGATTCAATATGAAAGATCTTTCATTACTAAGTTTATACTATATTCTTTTTATTTCCAAATATTTTCTTAGTACCTTACATGGAAAATTAGCAAAAGCTTAGACTTTAGAGTTTTATCCTAACAAGCAATCTTTAAAACAAAAAAATAATGAAGATACAATCTTGTCAATTCTTCTTATGAGCGTTTGTTCAAAAAGATCCAAGTAGAATCCTTAAGTGTGCCTTATAGAGGTTTCCAAGCAAATAGATTATATTCCAAAGAATAATAGAGGAGTGAATACTTCAAACAATATTTCACTGAAGAATCATATCTCTACACTTGTAGCCCAAAGCATGACACACCAACAATAAAACAACAATTTCACTAAAGTGTGGAGAATGAATATATTGAAGTAAACATTAATATTAAACATGTCATTTGGACTTATAAAACCTTGAAATGCTTGAGGAGATATTTTCCAGATGTTTTTTCAAATTTATAGGTTGTCAAAGATATTAATTCATTAATTAAAATTGTAACCTCTGTAAATATTGTGCACTTTCTTGTTCGTGACAAAATCAGTGCAAAGAAGAGTTTAGAGTGATATTTAACTTTTTGGAATTGTAATAGAAAAAAATAAAAGACATGATAGCTTGCACTTTGTATACATGATATAAAATTGCTTAAAATTATATTTATTAGAGGTACAAGAAAGAATTAAGAGTAAAAGCTAATAGAAAAAAAGATAATTAGAAGCAAAAACAAATGCAAGGAATTTCTAAGGTTGTTACTAACTAAATTATAATTTTGATTTCTTCAAATAAGAAGTAATTCTGAAAGAATTTAAATGCATAAACAAAGCCAACTTTTTCTTAATAATTTTTTTCATTATGTGAAGTCTTTTAAATATAAAAAGATAGAATGGAGGTTTTCAAAGACTCCAAAAAAATATTTTTTGCAGAGTATTTACTCCAAAAAATTAAGATATAATTCATATTGGTGGTAAATGTTGAAAATATAATATAAGCAAGTGATCTTAGGTCTTTTGACAAGAAAAAAAATCCAGAAAATTACACACAAGTAGAACCTTGCTACTTGCCTTGAACAAGTTATATTTTACAATTAACATCTTAAAGATAAAAGGAAATAGTTATCAAATGTGTGGAGGTGGTTAGATATCATTTTTTTGTATAAAGAATATGTAGGATTGATAATATGCAACAAGCATTAAGAGTTAATAATAGAGTTGATAAGACTTGTCAAATAAAATGCAAGTTATATGGTCAAACTTAGGAAGAGTTTGCCTTAAGGTATAAGATATGATGTAACATGCACTTACAATGCTAGTGGATGGATCTTTTACATGTGTACATTACTTAATGATAGATTTATGATAAAATATAAAATAGCATGGTAAAGAAAAAACTTTATAGGCACTAAAAGTCTTTGCAAAGAAAGTCTAATTGGTTATGAATTTTTAAAATTTCAACACATTGAAATATTTTTGTTACATAGTTTTTTCATTTCCTTTTAATTAACATGTGTTCATTTGCCCCAACTTAATAAATCCAAATTGTGGCTTGATGCAAAACTCAAATCTTAATTGTAGCATCTCACTCTTGCTTGGAAAACTTCAAGTTCTCTATGCAATTTGGAATGAAAACGGCTCCATTGCCACCTTCGTAAAAAGGGTGACAATTCTCTTTTGTATCACCAAAAATATGAGCTTGATCACGTGACATATTCTTCACCTTTGTCATCCCCCCACACACACAAACACAAAACAATAACACAGCTGTCTAATTTCCCCACATAACATATAAAGGCATTGAAAGAGAGAGCTCCACCAATGCTGGACATAATCGTCAACACTTCATTGACCAACTTTAACCCAAATCTCATCACACACAACAGTTGTGTTCTAATGCATAGAAGCCCCAACAAGTCCCAATGTTTTCAATTGTTGGGCATACCTGTTGGAAATGGGTATCTATCATAAAAAATACTCCCATGATGCTTATTAGCATCGAATAAATGAAATGTGAACAGGAATTATAAATGAATAAATAAATTGGATTGAGGTACCAAAAAGGCAGTCGGTCCCGTGGAGTGCTGGACAATCTCACTTTGCAATCAGATTTATAGCATCTAATTGGGCCCCAATAGGAGGAGAAGGAGGGGCAAAGGGGGATTCACCACCATCCATTCGTAAAGCATCTCAATGGCTTACGGCTTCTCCACCACTACCACACTATACCAAACTAAGCACTTTAGGGTTTGCACACCCTAGGGTAGGGTTGGTGGCAGTGGAATGAATGCCAGGAAGACTACGATTCTGGTTGTCTGGGGGGGTAGTCGTCTCGTCCCTTGTAAAGGAAGGAGAGCAATTCCAACCAGAATCTGTGCCCCTCATTCTCCTCTTGCCTTGCCCCTGAAGCAAGGCCATTGCCTATCTTTGATGTGAACAAGGATGGGAGCTGGGAACAGGCATGAGAACGCTGCTCCTCGATAAGAAATAAAAGTGCATAATAAAAGTAGTAGACAAAAGAGGAATGGGCTCCCCTTTGCAACAGCCTCCCTTTACTGATGAAGTTTTGTGATTCGTGTCCT